TCCCAAGCAGTTACCTCCTGGACGAATAGTTCATATTTAATTTTTATTCGAAGCATACAAAATCACATTGCAAATTCTGCTTCGTATTCAAATGCCTGTGAAAATGATTATGGAATATATTTGTTGTAATTCAAACAAAAACATATTAATATTCCTCGTTTCCGCTTTTGAAGTATTTATTTTTCACCAAAAATGTTGATGTTATGCATTTCCTAATAACTTTGGAACTGAATAGTTAGTCATAATCTTCCAGTGTTACAACAATGTAACAACTCATTATGCATATATCCAATGTTTACATAGGCAGACATATGGCTAATTAAATCCTTTGGCAACTCCAAAACGTCAGACAAAGTGACACCGCTATAATTCGTGACAGGTATTTGTGTTGTTTACTTTGCATTGCAACGTATACCCATGTGATCAACATGTGTTGTTTACTTTGCATTGCAACGTATACCCATGTGATCAAATGTGTTGTTTACTTTGCATTGCAACGTATACCCATGTGATCAAATGTGTTGTTTACTTTGCATAGCAACGTATACCCATGTGAATCAAATGTGTTGTTTACTTTGCAAAGCAACGTATACCCATGTGATCAAATGTGTTGTTTACTTTGCATAGCAACGTATACCCATGTGATCAAATGTGTTGTTTACTTTGCATTGCAACGTATACCCATGTGATCAAATGTGTTGTTTACTTTGCATAGCAACGTATACCCATGTGATCAAATGTGTTGTTTACTTTGCATAGCAACGTATACCCATGTGAATCAAATGTGTTGTTTACTTTGCAAAGCAACGTATACCCATGTGAATCAAATGTGATGTTTACTTTGCAAAGCAACGCATATCCATGTTTACACCAACTCATTTAAAGCAGGAGAGTCTTCACCTGCGCACGCGCGGGGAATTGAGTCCCAAGCGACGATAAAAACACACGATAAAAACGCTCATTGGTAGACGCTTGTTTGTAAACAATGACACTGCTTTTCCTGGGAATTATTGCAAACACTACAATTGTATTTGTATACGTGTTTTGCAAAGGCTTACTCTACCGTCTCAATCCTGGTCCTCATAATTCGTTCTCCAAGGTCGTTCTAAGGACGTTAATAAACGTCATTCGTAGCTCATATAAATAGCAACACTGAGTTGTATATTCCATGAACTCGTTGGGGATTCCCCTCGTCTATTAAATGTACAAACAATCACACTGATAGCACTGTGCACGTAAACAAAAATAAACCAATAGAATTTGGCCACGATAGTCCTCCTGTACAAAACATAATAAGATTGAACGCAATTAGAAACATGAGTCAGAAAAATCCCCGTTCTTATTGCGGTGTTGCAGAAATTGGGTATCAGTCAGTCGCGAGCTACAGGTACATACGTTCCTGTGATCTCAAGGCTCGTGTATCCGACGACGTTAAACTCAGAGCTAATACCATGGATGGAATCGCGGTGACGCCCAGTACTGTAGTGAGTATAGATTAAACAAACTACAAATACATGAATTGCACATAGGATAATTTATTGTTTCATGGGCGAATTCGGTAATAAGTGGCACAGGGAGATGGAGAAGAGAGCCTCTGCCACCAACAAATTCGAATTTATTTTACGTGACTGATTCACCTTAGGAAATACTGGAGTCTATGCTTGGTTCAGGGCATTGGTGGTTAAATGCGTAAATAATCAAGTCTGTGAATTAGGCTACTAATCAACGTCACAGCAGTGTACCGAATTCCATTCAGCAATGTTGCTAACATCGTAGACACATACAAACATTTTAGAACACGGGTAGTTAAACAATTACGACATCATTCAGAATACGAGTTACTATTATTACACATTATCTTTGTAATGCAGCTGTCCTGTGCGTGCCCAGTATAATCAATGTGTTGCACCATAAGTGACAATTTATATTTTGATGTTATATTTTATCAAGGACTATGCAGATAAATTTGTTGAGTTTGTCGAACGGATGTTCTACCTGTTTGTTGTATATGTGTTCGTATGTAGAGTAACGGGAGACTATGTTCCAATATGTGCGGTAGGCACCAGGTAAGATGACCATGACCCCCGCCATGACCATTTCCATACGATTATACGATATAGACAATATAATAGTAGTGTTAATTTGCTTATAATCCTGTTCGAATGTGCAATCGATACATTAACGTTCGCATACAACATTGTATTGTAATGTGCTAGAAATCAAATTTGAATTAATTTCATTATCCAAGGAAAGAATTTTCATTTATTATTTTTAGTGGCCAGCATTCTGTTGTAAGTACTGGTGATCTGATTTTCATGACACCTATTGGTCAGCACTCACACTTGGACATCGGTGACATTGTTACAGTGAAAGATACCAGAAAATATAGTGGCTATTACATCCAAAAAGTAACAGACATACATCAGCCAAGGTAACAATCATTTTGAAAAAAAAAACGTTCGTGATTCGTTAATCATTGTATGATATTAGTAATACTGAGTACAGATAAACAAAGTGTTCAGCTGCCTGTGTTTAGAAATGCAATTGCACGCATTGAATAACACCGATGTTTCAAACTGCACTTATATGTGGAATGTTATGCTTTTCTAATAATTGTTTTACATTCACAGTGTCACGGACATTGACCCTATGGTGGAGATTCAGTACCAACGAGAAGACAGCATACAACTAGAACGTCGCTGGTTCAAATTGAGTGATATCGTTGGAAGACTTTACTTCAGCGTGTCTTTTTTCAACTCAAATGCTGGTACGTACATTCTTTCCGTATTTCTCTCTTTATTTCTTTACTTTTAATTTTTCATATTTATTTATTTATTTATTTATTTATTTATTTATTTATTTATTTATTTATTTATTTATTTATTTATTTATTTATTTATTTATTTATTTATTTATTTATTTATTTATTTATTTATTTATTTATTTATTTATTTCAGGTACTTGTCATTATTATCTTTTTGAATGACATTTTAAATGCTGTCCTATCAAGAGTTCATCTGGGTAAATGCGCCCTATTCTTTGCGACATTGTTGGTTCTCCCTACTTCGGTGGAATGAGTGCATTCTCGATTATAGTACAAGCAGCTTTACAGAATTTGCTATCATAAGTGTATCGAATAAATCCATAAAGAACGCATGTCATGGATTGTGCAAAATCGAGTAGGATACCTGATTTCAGAGGTGGTTTATTGTCATTATATTATACCAACCTAATTTCAAATGTATTCCCGAGGCATGGAAACAACTTAAACGCATCAAAACTATGGCCAAATGAGATGAAGCATCCGAAACGTTCTACTGGCAACGCGACATTCATTTTCTGGTGTCATCTGCGTAAGAAAAAATTCTTTGAACTTTCCCGATTTTAGTTGACAGCCGGTTTACCCCTCTTGTGTATTGAGACCTACTTCTATACATTAAAAGCTATTCATTATACCACGGCTAACATAATTAAAAACACGCCCTCAACCAATCAGAACGACGTAATCGGGCATTTGAAAGGCTGGTATAATATTTACTATGGAGGTATTGAGTGAAGTGACGTCATAGTGAGCAAAATAATTCTACGCAAGTTTTTTTAATATGTATAAAGATTTTCCAATATTGAACCATATTCTACTTGAAGACAGTTACTAGTGAGAATTTAAATCTGTTCTATAGTGAATATGACTATTAACCTAAAAGTAACATTTGTTTCAAGAAAGAAGAAGGTGAGCTGAAGGTTAAATGCGATAAAGAACACATTTAATTTATGCATGTTTTTTATTATGTAAAGTACCATTCCATAGGTTAGTATGACCCCCTAGGTTAGTGCCAGTACAAGGTAATATAATAGACGTTTGTATATCAATATTATGTAACTCTGATATTATTCTCTGTGAATAACAACTCGGAATTATAACTCTGACGTGAGTATGTTAATTAGTCTTACATTGATTAAACACAATTTCTTCTCGAATAGAGTACTTTTACTTATGACTACGAGTCTGTATAGATACGTCTTCGAATACTTGAGTATACAGTGCAATACGAAAAAACTTTCTACTCATGTATCAATAATATTAAATACTCAAATGAATATCACTAACTCAATCAAACATTGCATATTTTCATGGCAATTTATGAACACCTTCGCCCAATGCTCACCAGTGGGAGTTTTGAAGGGTGACCCCTTGCCCAATTTTTTAGGGTGTATTTTTATTGTGTATTTTTCCCACTAGTAGTTATGTCAATGCATGAGTTCAGTCGAAAACACAAATATTACCTTCGTGATTCATGATTAATTTTTCTCGCTGCCTAACGGCATGAAAGGTCCGACATAGGGTGATGGGCTGAGCCCACTTTTATTTAACATATATATCAATGACATCAAAAACCATATTGATTCGTCACAAAATGAAATGATTTGCCATGTATTCCTACGCTCTGAAGCGTTGTTCGCTTCTGATCACTCTCCGTCAAACCGGTAACATGAAATCTCGAAAGTATTCGTCGATCACTGTTTACCCTCG